AATATTATTTCTACTAAAAATGTATTTGTTTTGCTTTAAACACATGCGAAATATTATAAAATTTACACAAAATAACAAAAAATATGAATATTGTATAACAATAAACTCGTTTGCAATTATAATTTTCCTAAAAACGAGACTCTATTTCGTTAAACGGCAACAAAAAATTATACATTTCAGTGTCGAGTAAAACATAACGCTATTGTTTGGAGAGTTAGACACACATAAAACCATCAATTATTCAATTGAGGACTAATTAAATGTTTGAATATTTTTCCCTCTCTTCCCTCTAATGAACGAGAGTTGAGGGAAACACAGAGTTATACAACAGAATAGACTAATTGTAAAATTGGGACAATTATATGATTGGCGACCGGAATGGCAATCGAAAAATGTCACCCCTTTTATGATTATCACTCCTATGCTTACACAATACGAATGCCATCCAATTTAATTACCATAATATATTTTAAAAATGAATTGTTTAATCACTTATCATGATGTATGCCAGGGTCTGAAACAATTGAATATCATTTTAATGTGCAAACAGTTGTTGTATGAGTGCAATACACTCTAACCCCTCTGTTAACGGAATTATTGTATTTTAAATAATTATATTTTATTATAGTTTTGTTGAAGAAAAAGTAGAATGAAAAACAATTATCCATGAATTTAATTATAAATTTACTTTCAATTTTTATGGTTAGAAACTATTGCAAAATATATAGAAAAATGTGGCGAATTTGAGATACTTTTTGTGTGCAAAGAAAAAGTAGAATGAAAAACAATTATCCATGAATTTAATTATAAATTTACTTTCAATTTTTATGGTTAGAAACTATTGCAAAATATATAGAAAAATGTGGTGAATTCGAGATATTTTTTGTGTGCTTTAATTAAATATGTTATCGCAAAGTAATCAATAGTTATTTACCATTAATTAATCAAATATTCGCATGAATTCTGTATTAAACTAATCTTTTTAAGTTATATTAATGGCTTTTATGTTGTTTAATATCTGGTTTAAAAAACAAAACTACTCACTAAACCATTTATTTTATTAGTGTTTCTATTGTGATCTTAAAATAAAATACTCTTATTTTAAACATTTACCCAAAAAGTAATAAAAATGATATAAATATGAGATAATATTTCATAGAAAATATATTTTTAATACTAAACACAAAGAAAATATACGAAATTCATTAAGTTTTACGAAATATTAATTATAAAACAATTCTTCACTTTTTCGAAAACAAAAGTAATTCAAATAAACCCAAAACCCAAATAATGTGTGATTTCATTGTTTTAATAAATCATTTAAATTGTAATTAATATTTTTCCTCCTTTTGCAAACAAATGGTGGCACTAAATGTCCATCAATTATCTCATAATTAAGTTAAACTACTGAATAGTCTCTAATTAATGGTTGTGTTGTGGTCTCACATTAATCCATGCTATCATTCTTGAGATTAAATAACGCAATCCGATAACAAATTTGATAATTAAATTTAAAAATGATATATAAATGTAAAATCCAACATAAAATTAATCAAAATATCGAATACTTGTAAATCCAATTCAAGATCTATAAAATGATTTATTCATATTAGAAATGGTCCGCAATTTTGAAGTTAAATATTTGTTTAATTATAAAAATTGTTATTTATATGAAGTTTGTTTGGTTAGCGCCAGACAGGAGTCAATACAATAATAATAGAAAACTTGAATTTAATAAAATGAGACAAATATTAACACATGATTTTATTCTTTTTCTTTATAATAATAATCATTCAATTCTCACAAATTGCATGTTTATTATAAATCATACATTTATATAAATAAACAAAAAAGCAAAATATAATTGATTTAATATCGAAAATTCGTAGTTATATTGAAATGAACTCAAAATATGAGTTGAGAAGAGTCTATGAAGAGTCGCTACCAAATGAAATACACGACTAAATTATATATGAATCCAAACGGTATTATCAAAACATACACTTTATATATCATTAATTGTTATTTAAAACAATAACAATATAGTGAAAGGCGAAAAGTTGAAATGGTTTTTCATTTAACATCGTTTTGGACATCTATTGTATTTCTCTCGCAACACAACAACAAAAAACACACTTTTATTGCATATAATTAAGTAATAAAAGGCAGTCCAATGGCTAACGCTTTCCTTTAATCTGTTTTCGCTTCTCGAGTAACCTATTATTACTGGTCTCCAGATTCTTGAGCGTCATTTGGTCTTCAAAATCCACTCGCATTGTACGCAACGCTTGTGTCATCTCTTCCTGCACTTCAGGCCATTGTTCCTGATCTTCGCGCAGCACTCGTACCGAATGGAGTGGCGTTTGTGGCACTTCGGCGTACCGCTAATCACCAGTAATTACAAGACAGACATTGCATTTAGACAGTCAATACACTTCTCATCGTAAATGTCAGAAACTAAATGTTTTTGTTTTAATGCATATAAACTAAACACACATAAAATAATTGCAAAAACAAACAGCGAATGTTTGGAGAATGCTATGGGAATAACTGCTCTCTCAGTTGGACCTAACTTCATGTCTATCGTAAATCACTTTTCATATTTCCAAAGCTAATCATTGACTTAAATGGTATAAACAATACGTAAATGTTTAGCTAATTGCAAGAATAGGTGTGTATGTGTTGTGAATGTATGTGTAAATTAACGCAAAATACTTACAGCAATCCAATTGTGTTTCATAACATTCTCGATGGTTAGTCTCTGAGCCGGATCTGTCTTTAATAATCCTTTTATCAGATCTTTAGCTGTAATCAAAACCAAACGATTAAAATTTGCAAAAAGAAAACTTTAGGCTTATATTACTGACCATCTCTTGAGACGTGTCTCCACTCCGGATCGGGGAAGTCGTACTGACCCGCTCTGATCCGTTTCTTCATACCCGGAGATATAGCTAATCCATGATTGCTATAAAAGGGCGGATATCCGCACAACAGGATATACATGATTACACCCAATGACCATAAATCGCTAAATTCGCAGAAACAAAAACAAATATTAGTAAAAGTAATAAAACATGTCAAAAACAATTGTTAATTACCAGCTCTTATCGTATTTCTCAGGCCCTAAGACCTCAGGCGCGACATAATATGGTGTATAACATGGCGTTTGAAGTGATAATGTATTTGATGTCTCTTTTGCAAAACCAAAATCGGTTAGTTTAAGAACACCTAAACTATCGCTTCGCGTATATAATAGGTTCTCTGGTTTGACATCTCTGTGGGCGATGTCCATAGCGTGAAGGTATTGGACGGCTTTGCATATATCGTGCATAACTTCGGCCGCTTCTCGTTCTGTAAAGGCATTCTCGGCCCTGTCTTGGATCCGTTGGAACAGTTCTCCCCCTTCCATACTATTCATCAATAAAACAAATCACATTAATATAAGTAAATTAAAACATCTAATCATATCATTGCATACCATTCCATGACAACGAGAAGGCATTTGTGTCCGCCATAAGAGTTCTCGTAGACATCGACAATATTAACGATGTGTTTGCAACCGCTGGCCCTCCAGTGCAGCTCTACCTCACGTCGAGCTTTAGTGGAATCTCTTAAAACCTATGAATAGATGTAAAAATAAATTTTTGTGAACAAAAATAATTCATGCATTCTGTCAGTGATTGACAACCGCTGGCCCTCCAGTGCAGCTCTACCTCACGTCGAGCTTTAGTGGAATCTCTTAAAACCTATGAATAGATGTAAAAATAAATTTTTGTGAACAAAAATAATTCATGCATTCTGTCAGTGATTGGGAAAGAAGTAAATGAATATTGAGTTACATAAGCAGTCATAAGGCCTTACATAACGACATCTTCAAACACACACACACTTCAAACATATGCTATAATTAACTCACACTTTGGGTTCAATGAAAAATGTACTGTTAATTATGTAGACTATTATTATTGACAATTCTTTACTCAATGTATTCGCTAATGAATTCTATGCCATTCATTAACCTTAGGAATTAATTATATGACTAGAATAACACTTTTAATTACAATAATGTCCGAAAAATCAATGAATTCAAAGTCACATAAAAACGTGAATCGATTGTAAATTGCAATTTAGTGTAAATTATGTGAAATGCTTATGAATGCATTAATTGAGCCAAAAATGAGATCTAAATATTTTGTTTAAAAATAAAACTCTTTTGTAAATAAACACAACGCTTACGATAACAGTAGTATTTAATTGTGTGTTAAACTAATACAACCGCTGGCCCTCCAGTGCAGCTCTACCTCACGTCGAGCTTTAGTGGAATCTCTTAAAACCTATGAATAGATGTAAAAATAAATTTTTGTGAACAAAAATAATTCATGCATTCTGTCAGTGATTGAGAAAGAAGTAAATGAATATTGAGTTACATAAGCAGTCATAAGGCCTTACATAACGACATCTTCAAACACACACACACTTCAAACATAAGCTATAATTAACTCACACTTTGGGTTCAATGAAAAATGTACTGTTAATTATGTAGACTATTATTATTGACAATTCTTTACTCAATATATTCGCTAATGAATTCTATGCCATTCATTAACCTTAGGAATTAATTATATTGTTAACTAAAATAACACTTTTAATTACAATAAAGTCCGAAAAATCAATGAATTCAAAGTCACATAAAAACGTGAATCGATTGTAAATTGCAATTTAGTGTAAATTATCTATTTACGAATACTTACGTAATTAACTCGGTTTTTACTCTAGATTTATAAAACAAATTTTTATTTTGAGAAAACATTTATTTGTGTTGCGAATGCTATTGTCATCATAAATTAACACACAATTTGATTATAAATACAATTGAATACAATTTCGAGTGCATTTCAATCAGATATACACTAAATTCCACAACTTTTCTCCTCTTTTACTAAAGTGTAGTTTACTGTGTGGTCAAAAATGTGTCTTTGTTGAAAAAGTTATAAGTTTTGTTACACTACATTACTTCTTCATTAAGTGCCTTAATTACTAATGATTTTGTCGTTCAATAAAAGGCTACAAAACATATTTAGATCCTTATATCCCGTTCATCACACAAAACAATTACTTAAATTACATCTAATAGTTATTCTGGGAAAAGTATTGTACAAATTGCAAAAGTATTAAGACCTAGGTTGTAATTAAAATGTTATATCATTGGAGAGAAATCCGCTGTCATAGCCATAAGGAACCAAACATAAAGTAAAACAAACAACGGTTAAGTCATTTCCCTTTCAATTTAATTTCAATTACATTGTATGTATAAAAACAACTAAATTATTGCAAAATAAATTCTTTCGTATAGTTTTCGTTCAAACAAAGCATATATGCAGTGAAAGTCACACATGTATTAGCAAAACATAATTAAAACAACGGCAATATTTTAATAAATATAATATACAAAGGCCGACGCTTGTGATGAGTTGCAAAAATTAATACCGATTTCTATTTGAATCCGGTTTTAGTTAAAAATATATAACAATTTCATGTGGAGTCCTATACTGTATAAATGATAATTTTTATAATAATTCAATCCCAGGGCTTATGATTTAATTAGAAAAGTAAAATTGCCTCCGAATGCAAAACCCCCGTAAAAATACAAGGATTTTGTTGTGCAATGTGTGATGTGTTGTGCCGACTATTAATCAATCAGACATTCAAGTGCTTCACTGAAAATGCATTTTAAAACTATGATAAGAATTCATGCAATAATTGTTTGAAAAAATTATACTATTTATAGTATTAAAAGTCAATGTGTGTGTGATTTTCTAAATGTTAACCACAAATTGCATACAAAATAAATAATAATTTACAATCAATTGTTATAAATTAGCGACGAGAATGCATTTACACTGAAAAGTCGCTAAAAGCAGTCTAAAGTCAACCTAAAAATGTGATTTATATCTATCTCTCCATTGTATACACTCTTCAATACTTGATATCAATTTCAATTCAAGGATATCTCTAATTATCTCAAATCATAAGAAACTTTTAGTGGAATTTAGTTCATATAAACGATGAAATAATATTTATTAGTAAATTACAACTCAAATAATCATGTTTTATATCATTTGAATGCTAATGTTTTTCAACAATACATTCAACTGAACACATATTTAATGTCTAATTATTTAGACAACAATTTCAATTAAAATGCCAAACAAAATGCTTTGCAGATAACAATGCATTCTTCGGAAAAGGATTGGAAAAAACATTTTCCAACACTTATTAGTGATAATAACACATGACGTCTATAAGTAATAGACTATTACTTCTGTTTTCAATTTTAAAAGTAGGGTTTTTTCAAAAAAATCCTTTTTAACAAAAACTTTTGAAATACAAGTGTAGAGAGCATACGATGGAAAACATTAAACTAATCTAAACTAATGATAGATATAAAGTGGGAGACGATATCAATGAGATAACTGTTATTAGAACTTATTTCTATAGCAAAACAAACAATGAATAATAAAATTTCATATAAAAGTCACCNTACGATGGAAAACATTAAACTAATCTAAACTAATGATAGATATAAAGTGGGAGACGATATCAATGAGATAACTGTTATTAGAACTTATTTCTATAGCAAAACAAACAATGAATAATAAAATTTCATATAAAAGTCACCCTCGGCTTCAACCAAAAGTATATAGTTTTTCCCAACTATTGCTTTCCTTGGGTGCTACAAGTAGTGTGACCAACTCTAACTTATCAATCACAATATTATAAACAATTTGAACGACAAAAGAGCACATGTTTAGCAATTATAGAGGACAAAATGAGGACAATTGGTCAGCCTAGTTACAATGAGTATATTATATAACCAGTCATTTTATAAATGAAATGTACACTCAAAATGCAGTGTAGTATGCATTTTCAGGGTAAATGTTACCCATTTAGTGTATAAAAATATGCTTCAATTGCAACACATCCACACATTTTGTCGATTAAAAATGTCATTTACTTTAAAAACTTATAAATTATAAATTCCGGCATTAATTCCAGTTTAACACTCGATAGCATATATTAAATGGCAAAACACGTATCGAAAGCCTAAGCGCTTAGAAAGTATTGGCTTTCATTTGATTGATGACTGAATTAAAAATACAAATATTAAATTCAAAAATAACTTCAAGGAAAATGTTTGGCTATAAAAATCAGACATAAAAAACAATCAATATTTTCGTACAAACAGTTAATTTCATAAATCAATCAAAACTTCACAAAATATGCAAATTGTTTGTGAATAATGAATACATAAATATAGAAATTACAAATTAAAAGCTAATTATTTCTACGAATTATTAATTTTTATTTGCAATTGAGTATAAATAATGCAATTTTTAATGTGAATTGCATTCAAAACAAAGCGCTATTATTAATACATTACTGAAATGAAAGGAAATTCATAGGCTTTACAATACATGCGAGAAATGAAAAGTTTTTTATGACTAATAATAATAGACTTGTAATGAATTTTATAACTTTTACTATACTGTAAACACAATGACTGTTTGGTTTAGTTAAGTCTTATATCTATTTAATTAATTAGGTTTAAACACACACTATATTTACTATATATACAGCATATAAATATAGTTCAGCAGTTAATCTCCATTACATCAATGGCTTAAAAGCATTGCACAACTCCTAAGCCATTAAACATATAATTAATTTTCAAAAACTCAAAAACGAAAGTATGTGTCACTGAAAAGGCATTGAATGGTGTGTTAGAAATGAAAACAAAATGTTGAGGAAAATTGAATGAATGAACGAAACACTGGTTAACAAAAACACAACTAAAATGAATACAAAAAATACTGAAATAAATAAATAGATCATGAAATAAGAGCTATAATATTATCACTAATTATATGACACATAAAATGCGGTTAAATAGTTGCGATGGAAAGGCAGAGGGGAGAGGGATGTGGGGGTGAAGTGGGAAGACAATGGGATGATATAGTTATGATGATTATGATTGTGGTAATGATGGTAATGATAGATACCTTGAGGGCGTATTTGTGTCCATTAGTCTTGAGGAAACACTCGACCACTTTTCCATTGATACCCAAACCCAACACTTTATCCGAAATGCGGTAATCATTGGTAATGGGATGTGATTTGCCTTTGAATACACGCGAAGNATGGTAATGATAGATACCTTGAGGGCGTATTTGTGTCCATTAGTCTTGAGGAAACACTCGACCACTTTTCCATTGATACCCAAACCCAACACTTTATCCGAAATGCGGTAATCATTGGTAATGGGATGTGATTTGCCTTTGAATACACGCGAAGACATTGTGTACTGACGAGGATATCGCGGATCAAATGAAATACACTATCGATTCAATAAAATATATATAAAATACAAATACTGTATACAAAAAATAGGATGAAATATAAAACTTTTAGCGCTAATAATCAATACTATAAACAAATATCTCTCATGTCTTTGAGTAACAAAAAGAGCACTTCTCTGGTGAGAGACGGATAGGAAAATGAGATGAAAATCAAGTGAAACTCACAGTAAAAGCACTGCAACTATAAGTGAAATACAAAAGTAATAATTGATACAAAAAAAGGTGATCTCACGGTATGTTTTGGTTGTTTTGGTTGCGCTGAGCCTTCAGTCCAAGCGATTACACCTCTCTATGAAATATACACTTCTCTCACGTTATGTGAACTCAAATGACTTTCGCGACTAAATTAGCATTAATTTAAATGAATAACTCAATCAAAATCATGAACTAATGGCTATAATATTGGATATCATGTTAAGTGTGAGTCTTATAGGAGTGAAGTCTTACTGTAAGTATTGATACGAAAAATGCATTGAATGTGTGTTTTGTGTCGTTTTGGTGACGAAACCATTGCCTTAACGTTACGTCACTTTGCGCTCACACTCTCTCCCATACACTCCCATACATTCACACAACACTCCCTAACCATCCCGTGTGAGTGGGTATCACGTGATCCATAGGTTACGTCTAGTTATTGAAAATTGTGAAACTTTTTTAGTGCATTCAAGCCGTGAATTGCACGACAGGTTTGACATCAAAAATAGTTATCCTATGATCTGTTTGGACAACAGGTATACCACTAAAACATATGGCTTTTTGAGTGCATTACTCTCTC